TTATTTTTATTTTATTTATTTTTTTAAATATTGTTTTCTCTTTTTTTTATTAATACATTTTATTTATTTTAGAGCAGTTTCAGGTTCACAGCAGAATTGAGCAGAAAATACAGAGAGTTCGCACATAGCCCTCCCCACTCACACATATATCCTCCCCTCCCCTCAACATCCCTCATCAGTGGGGCATATTTGGTACAATCAGTGAACCAACATGGGCACATTATTATCAACGAAAGCCCATAGTTTACATTAGGGCTCACTCTTGATGTTGTACATTCTGTGGGTTTTGACGAACGCATACTGACATGTAGCCACCGCTATAGTATCATACAGAGTAATTTCAATGCCTTACAAATCCCTTTGCTCCATCTATTCATTCCTCCCTCCCTCCCTCTCCCCAAACCCCTGGAAACCACAATCTTTTTATTGTTTCTGTAGCTGTGCCTTTTCCAGAATGTCATTTGGTTGGAATCTTACAGTTTGTAGCCTTTTCAAACTGGTTTCTTTCATTTAGTGACACGTCTTTTAAGTTTCTTCCATGTCTTTCATGGCTTGATAGCTCATTTCTTTTTTTTAAACTACACATATATTTTTTAATTTACATATATGTACTGTTCATTGTTTCTAAGGATGTTTAGAGCTTTAGCTTTTTAAACTTACATAGTTATCAAAGGAATAAAGCCAAACACAAAATGAGAATTGATTCGAAAAGATACACACACCCTGCTATTAGCAGCAACATTATTTATAATTGCCAAGATATGGAAGCATCCTTAGTGCACATCGATAGCTGAATAGATAATGGAGATGCAGCATATGTATATATGTAATGGAATACAGCTCACCCACAAGAAAGGATATTTTGCCTTTTGTGACCCTTTATTCACTTTTTTTCACTTCAAAAACCAGAATTTTATAACCAGCATAAACATTTCCATTACATGAAAAACATCAAAATACCTAGAAATAAACTTAGCCAAGGAGGTTACCTATACTCCAAAAACTGAAATGACACAAAGAAATGGAAAGATTTCTTGTGCCCTGAGATTGGAAGAATCAACACTATCAATATGGCCACACTGCCCAAAGCAATCCACAGATCCAGTACAACCCCATCAAAATACTCATGACATTCCTCACAGAACTAGAACAAACAATTCCAAAATTTATAAAGAACCACAAAAGACCCTGAACAGCCAAAGCAATCTTTCATAAGTCTTTTCTTTAATCTTTCTTTCCTTTGTTCTCTTTTCTTATGGTTTGATGACTAGAGAAGGTCCTTTAACATTTGCTGTAGAGCTGGTGTGCTGGTGCTGAAATCTTTTAGCTTTTGTTTTTCTGTGAAGCTTTTGATTTCTCCATCAAGTCTGAAGGAGAGCCTTGCTGGATAGAGTATTCTTGGTTCTAAGTTTCCCCCTTGCATCACTTTAAATATATCGTGCCGCTCCCTTCTGGCCTGTAGAGTTTCTGCTGAAAAAAGCTGATGACCTTACGGGAGTTCCCTTGTATGTTATTCGTTGCTTTTCTCTTGCTAATTTCAATATTTCTCCTTATTCTTAATTGTTGCCAATTTGATGACCGTGTGCCTTGGTGTGTTCTTCTCAGGGTTGGTTCTGTGTGGCACCGTCTGCACTTCCTGGGCGTGGGTGACTCTTTCCTTTCCCAAGTTGGGGGATTTTTCGGTTATTATCTCTCTAAAAATTTTCTCAGATCCTTTCTCTCTCCTCTTTCTGGGACCCTATAATGCGAATATTAGAGCGCTTCATGTTGTCCCAGAGTTTTCTTAAACTATCCTCATTCCTTTCATTTTCTTTTTTCTGTTCTGCAGTAGTGATTTCCACTAATCTGTCTCCTAGCTCACCAATCCCTTCTTCTGCATCATTTAGTCTAGTCTTGTTTCCTTCTAGTGTGTTGTTCATTTCAGTGATTTTATTCTTTAACTCTGGGTATTCTTTATATTTTCCAGCTCTCTGCTAAAAACTTCACTCTGTGCTTCTATGCTCCTCTTGAGTTCTCTGAACACCTTGGCCATCATTATTTCAAACTCTTTCTCAGATCCACTGCCTATCTCCTCATCACATTTCCTCTTCTGGGATTTTATCTTGTACCTTGGCCTGGGAGATACTCCTTTGCTGCCTCATATTGTCTCTTTCTATATGTTTGTGGACTCCTTCCACAGGCTTTGGGGTTGTTGTTTTCTTATTTCTGAAATCTGCCCCTGGTGGATGGGACTGGACTAGAGGCTTATGCAGGTTTTCTGGCAGGAGGAGCCAATGCATGCACACTGCTGGGTGCAGCCTGGTCCTGGACCTCTGGTGGGCAGGGCTGTGTCTAGAGGCCTTTGTGCCTTCAGGAAGTCTGCTGATGGATGGGGCTGTGTTCCCACCCTGTGTGTTGTTTGGCCTGACGCTTCCCTACAGGCTGTTGGGTGGGGCTGGGTCTCGGTGCTAATGATCCAATCAAGGTGTCAGCCTCCAGGAAAGCTCCTGTAGATGAACACTCCCGGAATGTTTGCCACCAGCTTTTATGTCCCCTGGGTCAGCCGCAGCTGCCCCCCATGTTCCCAGGAAAACCTCCAAATGCAGCAGGCAGGCCTGGCCCAGATTCTTATGAAATCACTGCCTCTGCCCTTGGACCTGGCACATGGGAGTTTCCGTGTACACTTCCCATGAGAATGGAGTCTCTGTTTCCCTCGGTCCCATGAGGCTCCCAGAGCCAAGCACTGCTGTCCTTCAAAACCAGTTGTCCTGCGGTCTCCTCCTCCTCCCAATGCCAGGGCCCGGGCTGGGGAGCCTGGCGTGGGGCTCAGCGCTCTCACTCCTGTGGGAGGGCCTCTGTGACTTAACTACTCTTCAGCTTGTGGGTCCCCCACCTGGGGGGTGTGGGGCCCAATTACATCGCGAGCTCGCCCCTCCTACCGTCCTCCTGTGGTTTCCTCTTTATGATTCCAGTTGCAGAAGATCTTTTTTTGCTAGGTTCCAGTCTTTTTTTAGATGGTTGTTTAGAAGTTAGTTGTGATTTCGTTGTAGTAGCGAGGGGATGTGAGCTTGTGGTCCTACCACTCCACCATCTTGACCAGAAAATTGTTTTCTTCTTTTTAAATTGAAGTATAGTTGATTTACAATATTGTGTTCATTTCAGGTTTACAGCAAAGTGATTTGATTATACAAATATATATAATGTGTATCTATATTCTTCTTTTGAGATTCTTTTCCAGTGTAGGTTACTACAAGATATTGAATACAGTTCCCTGTGCTATACAGAAAATCCTAATTGTTTATCTAGTTTATATACAGAAATGTGCATCTGGTAATCCCAAACTCCTAATTTATCCCTTCTCCCCTTCCCCTTTGGCAGCTATAAGTTTATTTTCTATGTCTGTGAGTCTGTTTCTATTTTGTCAATAAGTTCATTTGCACTATTTTTTAAATTCCACATGTAAGTGATATCATGTAATTGTCTTTCTCTGACTTACTTCACTTATTATGATCATTACTAGGACCATCTATGTTGCTGCAAGTGGCAAGATTTCATTTTTTTAGTGGCTGAGCACTTGGGGGCCATTTTGAGTAGTGAGCTCCCCAACCCAAAGCACAAAAGTGCATAAAATGTGGCACTAAATGACCCCAAAAAGGACGCTTGTTTCCAAAGTAGGGCATCTCCTTGTTCAAACTCCACTGGGAACCTGGGCGTCTGGAGACTCAAAGTTTTCACGAATTACCACCGTGAGTGTGGATTTCCAGGTGACAAATACATTTTAGCAAGTAGGTGAATTTGCAAATACTGAATCCATGAACAAACATCAACTGTATATTTCACCGCATTCATAGCTACCAGCCCTCTAAGTTTTATATCCTGTATACCTTACAATCTGTCCACTTCTTTTCATTTACACCTTCCCCACCTCATGATGACTTCCCAGCAAACCTTCTCCTCTGGCTGGACCAGAGCCTTCGCTTCTGAACCCACACCAACTCCTTAAGATCTTCAGTTTATTTTAATTGGTAGGAAAATGGAAGGTTGGAGAAGAGGGCTGTGGAGAGAGAGGAGAGAAGGGGAAGAGGAAATTTACATTAAAGGGAATGTATTGGGGGAGGGTAGAGCTCAGTGGTAGAGCACGTGCTTAGCATGCACGAGGTCCTGGGTTCAATTCCCAGTCCCTCCAGTTAAAAAAAAAATCAATAAAGGGCCTGTAAGGAAGCCTGCTGCTGTCCCAGCATGTGTGGGTGTGTCTTCTTGATGACAACCTGTTGAGACTGTCACAGGAGGGGAAAGGTGAGAAGAGGCACACTGTTACTCGGGTGACACGCACACCGTCATTACTCCAGTTAACTGTTCCCACAGCCCTACATGTAGATACTATTCTTCCTTCTTCTTCTTGAAATGAGGAAGTGTGGACTTAGGAGTGTTTAGTCACTTGCTCAAAGTCACATCCGAATGAGAGAAAAGAGGTCAAGCGCAAACCCGTGCTCTGAGGTCCCGTGCCCTGTCCCTGGGGCACTGCCACGTTCCAGCAGATGAAGGCGTCTGGTTTAACCCCAGACCTCCACCATCATTTCCCGCTTAACTTCGGAGTCCCTGAACATCATGGAAATGGAGTATTCCAGAGAACACAGCTCTCCGTGGCCTTTGGGGCTGTGATGGAATCGCTCCCTATTCTTCCCCAGTTCCAGGGCTCCATCAGCGACTGTATCAAATTCAGAGAAGAGCTTTCAGCTGGACTCAGTCTAAGGGTTGGGTTGATGGGCTTGGACAGTAGGCCTTGCAAGCTCATTGCACCTTAAGGGAAAACTTCAGAGATGACTGGACAAAGGACATCAGCTTCCTGACACCCAGCTTGGGAATCACTCCCTAAACCGGACATTTTGTTTACTTACAGGAATAAATATCACATCTGCTGATAAAGCATGAATCAATTTTTGGAAGGGAAAACGCCTCTCCAAACACTCTCACATCCCCCCACCAGCCTGCAGGCCTTGGGCTGAGGCCCAAAGGGGCAGCAGGGAGCCGCCTGGCCAGCTTGTCCCCTTGGGGGGGTGTGGGGCGTTGTGACTCTGGCTTTGAAATGGACTAAAGTCCTTCTCCCAGGAGACATGGAGCGAGCAAAGTGAGGCTGAGCCCTCGCTTGCTCTGAGGAATTAACGTAGATTGAGCAACTGAGCTCTGTTTCTTGCAGGCAGAATCCCGTCAAGGAACCACTTTGAAGCCTTTCCCTCTATCAGCGTCGGGTGACATTGGAACATGAGGTTATCATGACAGCAGCAGCCAGGCAGCCCCTTCGCCCCTGCCCCTCGCAGCCACACGGCAGAGAATGCTTTGAACTGGGTTTGCTGCATGTCCAGATCCTCGGGGGTCCCTGGCTTTGGACCGGGGCCCCTCTCTGATAAAGGCCTGCCTTTCTGTTCCCCTCACCGCGGGCTGTTCCCACCAAACACAGCTTCCTATTGCTAAGTTAGAGTAAACACAAGGCAGGCAAGCTACAGCTGACATATTAGGAAGAAACAAAGGGCTGAAGCGATGACTTTCTGGAGAGGAGAAATGATTCATATGTTTATACCCACCCCCTCCCCTCTCCAGTTTGCCTTCTTATTCTGCGCAAATCCTTGTGGACGCACTGCGCCAGGGTGGAGGGACGGCACCGACACCGCGGCACTGGCTGACCGTCCCGTCTGTCACGGCGACGCCCTCCCTCCTGTGGTTGGTTGGAGCTGCTGGGTGTGAGGAGATCGTCTTTCACAAGCTGTCCTCAGGTCCCCAGACGTCACTCTTTCCCAAAGCAAAACAGTGTGCTTTGGCGCAGGAAGACAAAACGCGCCCCCAGCTTCCGGAGAGGATGCCCTGCGCGCCCTCTCCCATGTGCGAGCTGGGAGAGGCATCTGCTCCAGGGCTCCCTCCAATACCTGATGTTAGCATAAACTGAAATAACTATCGTTGCTCTGCTTTGAGGTCCGAAGGCATTGCCACTGGGATGTAGGGGGTGAGAGAGAAGTGGAGGGGGAGTGTGGATGGTGGGGTGCTGCTCCCACATCTGGGCTACAGAGTCCGCTTCCCTCCTCGCTCCCCAGGCGCGTCCTACCTGGCCAGCTGCTAAGCCCACCACATTGATGCCCGTATCCCGCCCTCTCTTTCCCCCTCCCGTGCTCACCCGGTACCTGCCTGGATGCCCAGGTCCTGCCTGGGTCCACCCTCACCCTGCACTGTCTGAGTAATGCCGCCTAGGGCAGCCGAGCCAGACCCACTGCCGGCTCAGTTTCTCTGGGTCCCAGTGGGAGGGGAGGGTACAGAGCAGGAGCCGGAGGCTGGGCTTCATGATGTAAACCTGTGCTGGGCTTTAGCAAGTCTTTGCTATCCTTCCTTCGCCCGACCTGATGAGCCAGGAGTCTTAGCCATGGATACGCGGGGTCCGCCACAGGAGAGCTCCCTGGACTCTGAACTCCATGCCTCGGTTTCTCTGCTTGTAAGGCGAGAAGCGTGAGCCTGAGTCTCTCCCAGCAGGCTGGTGTCTGCGTGGAGGTCGTGGTCATGAATCAGTGCCGCTAGCCCACGGCACCACCGACAGACAAAGAGAGAGAGGCTGCTTCCTGCAAGGTGCAGCACGCGCTGTTAAAATGCTAAATGGCCGGTCAGACAGCAATATCCCTTTGGTCTCGTTTCTGCATTTTACTGGAACACTCAGGCATGAAGTGTTCCCTGAAACAATAAAAAAATAATTTACCCAGCCAGCGTGGTCCCTGTCTTGACGCTCTGCTTTTTCAGGACGCTGTCCATTCCCAGAACTCCGAGAACGCTTTTTCCTTGTTTTGTTTACATTTGCTTGGCTAACTGCCTCTCACTTGCTGTTTCCTCTTCCTTTTGGTGACTGACTTTTCGCATCATTTCCCTGTCTGTTACCAAATAAGCAAAGCCACTGGGTCCCGCACCCTCATTCTAAATCTCATTGTCAAAACAAATGCTTTGTGTCTCAGATTGGACTGAGCAATTTAAAAAACCCAAATAAAGCTTAGGTTTTGCTTTCAAGCCAGGCATTTATCGGTGGTTGTCTGCGTGCAGCAGGCACAGTGCCAGCCAAAGGAGGCACACACGTGGCAAAGTGCAGTGGGAGATAGTTAGGAGCTGCTCTGGAGGCA